GCCTCATCACAAAGGCAAAAAAAAAAAAAATGATGGATTTTATTTTATTTAACTTAGAGATTTCCAGTCAACACAGGGCAAGATGGACAAAGTCAGAAGATAAATGACATACTGGGAGAAAAGATTTGTGACATCTAAAACAGGGGATTTATACCTTGAAAAGTAAGAAACTCCTGCAAATCCACAACTAAAGGACAAAAATTCCCAACTGGAAAATGTTCAAAGGACATACGCAGGAAGCCACTGAATGGGAAACCCCAAATGTCTAATGAGTATATACGAAGAGATGCTTAAATTCATCAGTAATGACGGAAATGCAAATTAAAACAGTAACGAGAAATCGTCCCTCACCTACTAGATTGGCAAACATTAGAAGGATGGTGTTAACCTTAAAAATAAATAAATAAAACTGATAGTTATTTTATCGGCAAAAATGGGTTTATTTGGGAATAGCAGAGCACTGTAATCAAGGACAGCCACTCTACTACAAAACCATAGGCAGAACAAAGGAGAGGACCACTCATTTATAGAGGAAATGGGGAAATTGGGGAGGCTGTTATAAACAAAAGGTCCACTGGAGGAAACTGGGAGTATGAAATATAGTGGCTTTTGATTGGCTGAGTTGACTGTCTCTCATTGGCTTGGCTCTCGGAGGTGGATGAATTCTTCCTCTTGCGGGAATAGTAAAGTGGTGACTAAGTAGTAGCCAAGAGCAAGGTCCTTCTCTTCCTAGGAAGTCTGCAATTGACCAGTGGCAGGGTGTTAGAGCTCCCCCTGCTGGCCTCTGCACTTTATTCTAAATGAAGTTTCCTTTTATCAATTTTCACAAGGGCTTTATATAATATGTGGGGTAAGAAGGGGCACCTGGGTGGCTCAGTCAGTTGAACGTCTGACTTTGGCTCAGGTCATGATCTCAGGGGTTTGAGCCCCGCATTGGGCTGGCTGGCTGCTGGCAGCGTGGAACCGCTTCTGATCCCCTATCCCCCCTCTCTCCCTGCCCCTCCCCCACTCGTCCTCGCTCTCTTTCTCTCTCAAAAATAAATAAAACACTAAAAAAAAACAAAAGGATGTGGGGATAGAAGTACATTGGGAGTAATCCAGCACTCCAATCAAATTAGTTATGTACACATAGTATAAATCCTACTCTTGTATATATAACCCAGAAAAATTTCCTCACACAGGTCCATAGGGCCATGGATGAGGACGTTCTGTGCAGTGTTGTTTGCAATAATGGGGAACTGGAATCCACTCGGGTGTCACTGGGAGCCTGGACAGTAAAATGTGGGGTTGGCATGCTATTGACTATGATGGAGCAGTTAGATGGAAATAACTAGATCATGGGTTCCCAAATGTTCTTTCTTCACGGCACACTTAGAATTTCAACAATTTTTCCATGGAACTCCTAGGCCAGAAGCAATGGCTAACGATTCTGTGTATTAAGTAGTTAGGTCCAAAGAGCTTAATATATATTTATGTCCTAATAACTTAGTAGCTATCTGAAGAAAATAATGCACGTAAATTGAGGAGAAAATACTATTTCATTTCATTCTTAAATAACCGGAATAACTTACTAAGACAATGGTTGTGCCTGTTGGACGCTGCCCAACTTCTCAAGTGTTGGCGTTGGATTGAACACTGCTGTCCTCCTTTTTTTTTTTTAAAGTTTATGTATTTTGAAAGAGAGAGAGAATGACCGGGGGAGAGGCAGAGAGAGAGGGAGAGAATTCCAAGCAGGCTCCGTGTTGTCAGCGCAGAGCCCGACATGGGGCTCTACCCCATGAACTGTTAGCTCATGACCTGAGTGGAAATCAAAAGTCAGACACTTAGCCAACTGAGCCACCCAGGTGCCCCGTTGTTGTTATTATCCGTTCTACCTTGATTTCCCTGCAGTACTTGCCTCTCACTGCACGTGTTGAAGGCACAGGTCTGCTACAGAAAGGAATGTAGCACAATCTAATGTTGGAACTATGAACTACCTCAAATTTGCAGTTCACGTGGCACCATTTTGGAACCACAAAATTAGGTATACATATAACAATATGAATAAACCATAAAAACAGTACCAAATTTTAAAAAGCACCAAAAAAGTAAGACCTACGGGGCTCCACTGAGTCTGTTCTTGTTCAAGTTTCAATGACCTGCCATCTTACTGCTAAACCAGGGGACAGGTTCCCATGCAGCATTTAGCCCTGGTGAGCCCCTCCCCTTCCAGAAAGGTTCTTACATTGGCTTCCACCACACCCCTCTCTCATGATCTCTTCCTCATCTGTCTTTGACTTGTCCTTCCCAGTTCCCTTTGGGGGTTTCCGTCTGTCCCACCCTGAGCCTTTTCTGACAAGCTAGCCTGCTCCTATGGGGAACTCCTAACTCACAAATCATTGTCTTTGGTCCAGAGCTCTTTCCTGAGCTGGAGGCTGCTCATCCAACATCCTGTTCAATGTCTCCACAAGCACCTGAAACTTACCAGGTCCTGGCTAATCTCGCCATCTTCCCTGCCCCCCCAGCTGCTTCTCCTCCCATGTTTCCTAACTCAGGAAATGGAACCACGCTCCATCTGGTGGGGGCCTGCGGCCGATTGCATCAGTGGCCCAGTTCTTCACGCCTCCCTGCATCCACAGCCATGCCCTTGTCCCGTCCCCACCACTTGACTTTGGGCCGTCCACGAGACTTTGGCGGGTGGCACAGAGGAGGAAGTGCGGCATGACAGTTCTGAACCTAGGCCTTCAGAGGCCTCACAGATTTGCCCTTGCCCTCCTCTGCCCCTCTGCTTCCACGAGAAGAGCTAACCCTGCTGGCCCCATGAAGAGAAGAATGAGAGACATGTGGAACCACTCCACCCCAGCCCAGTCTAGATCAGCTGCCCCCAGCAGACCTGCCGGTAAGTGAGGGAGACTACGAGATTATTGTTCTAAGTTTGAGCACCAAGTTTGAGGGTGCTTTGTTGTGCATCAACAGTTCCTAAACCAGAAACCTGGGCATTGCCTTTGACCCCTCCCCCTCTCAGTCCACGTGGTTCCTGGAGCTTCCCCAATATCTCGTGACTCCATTTACTTGTCTCCATCATCAGCACCTCTGCCCTGCCTCAGGCTTCCTGCAACCACATTTTAATGGATTTTCCCTTCCTGCCTTTTGCCCCTATTCTCCACACACCATCCTCCTAATATGCAACTCTGATCACGTGACTTCCTTTCTGGGGGTTTGCTATGCCCTAAGGCTGGGGTAGCAGTTAGGGCCTGGATGAAGGAAGGAGCCTTGCTGGGGACCGTGGTTATCCTGGTCACTGCAGAGAGACCCCTCCGGAGCAGTTTCTGCTTTGTTCCGAAGTCAGTGCAGGGGCTCTTTAATCGGTTCTGTGCCGGGAGCCAGGTTCAAGTTTGGAGCAAAATAGGCAAAAGACTAGCTGTGCTCAGGCCATGGCAGCACTTCCCCAGGGTCCCCTGTAACCACCTCTACTACTCAGTGTGCTTTTTCAGGGCATCAACACAGAGGACAACCTGAGAGGCATCGACAGCTTGGAATTACGATTTCTGTCTTCATTCCTTGCTAATGGAGTAAGTCGTGGGTGTGCGGCTTCCAGATGTAGGCAAACGGCCTCTCGGACCTCCAGCCTTCTCTGGCCAGGGTGAAAAGGCTGTTGCATCAAAAGAAAGGATGAGTCACCAGAATGGGAGAGGTGCCACAGCCCATAGAGAGAGGCACCCCTGAACAAGACAAGGCCACCCTGTAAGAGAGCTTGAAAAGGAGCCAGTGGCCTTGGCCTTCATGAGATATTTGTGTTTTGCCACGGGCCTTCTCACAAGGCTGCTCAGAGAATTGGCTTGTTTAGTGGTTAAACATGCAGATTCTGGAATCAGACTTGCTGGCGTTGGGCCCAGCTCTGCCACTGATGTTGGGACCTTGGGCCAAGAGGAGCATCTGGGCTCCAAGCAGCTCAAGTTCAGCGAGAAGAGACAGGCAGGTAATCAATCAGGCCATCGCAAAAAGTATGAGAGGGGCTCTGATGGGCTGGGAAGCCCCTGGGAGTGGGAAGAAGTCTGTGCTAGGACCAAGAATGACACAGCCAGGTGGAACACGGGGAAGAGAAGGTGTCCTCAGCTCTAGGGGGGAAGGGAGTGGGTCTGATTTTATTTCTAAAGCCTCCTTCACCACTTCCGGCACACATTAGAATATCAATATCAGCTGACCACAGGTGTGAATGAGCCTTTCTGTAGGCAACATCCAGAGCTCTGATTTTAAATAGACGTTGGGGGGCGCCTGGGTGACTGGGTCCGGTTGAGTGTCTGATCTTGCGGTTCGTGGGTTCCAGCCCTGCATCGAGCTCTGTGCTGACAGCTGGAGCCTGGAGCCTGCTTCCGATTCTGTGTCTCCCTCTCTCTCTGCCCCTCCCCTGCTGGTGCTCTGTCTCTCACTCTCTCAAAAATAAGTAAGTAGTGAGCATTTTAAATACAGAGGTGGGATGTGGCACATGTCAGAGCCGGGTAACCATTCAGATTTGCTGGGACATGACAGAGCCTGTGGATCCCAGTGCCTGCAGCCCCAGGGGACGTTTCTCTGTGACCCTGTAACACAACAGAGTGGACAGTCACTTCTAGTACCCCAAGAGACACACAGAAGCTTCCAGGCCACCAGAGAGCAGGGACAATCCAGCTTAAAGGTAACCCCTGGTCCAGATGTCCCTCCGCAGGAAGCCAGGCGGCGTTAGGGCAAGGCCTCCACGGAGAGCATACGTGGATGGGGAGGCGGCCGCAGGAGGGTTGGAAGGGAGAAGGTGGCGCAGGGGATACCGGTAGGTGGTCACCAGGTGCGTGAAGGCGAGGACTGCAGGACGCGTGCGTCCCCAGCACTGTCTCCTCTCTGCAGGCGGCGCCAGACAGCCCGCGGGTGACTCGGGTCCTGGAGTCCGCCGGGCGGGGCGAGGGCGGGCCCATGTCTGGCGCTAGAGCGCGGCGACACCCACGCCGGGCATGACGGAGCGACGGATCGCCGCCGCCCCTCCGCAGCCATGCTGGCTGCCGGAGCATCGCCGCCCGCCGCTGCTGCCCGGCTGGGACTTCAGCACGCAGCAGGTACCACCGTGGGTCCAGGCCGGGCTGACCGGCTGGGTGACGTAAGCTGCCTCTCCGCGACGCGGGCTTGGGCTGAGGGCCAAGGCGCGGGGAACCTTGGGGTTTGTTGTACGCGCTTCCTCTCGTTCCCCCGGGGGATCGGCTTCCCCTCCACCGAGACGCCTTACCCGTGCCGCCCGCCCTCAAGATGCGACCGCGACCCGGCCGGGACCCCGGCCCTCCCGGAAACGGCGGGCGCCCCCGCCTCCCAACCCCGGCGGGATCCCGCGGGCGCGTAGCGGGAAGCGCGCAGCGCGGCCGGGGTCTCGGAGGGGGCTCGCGCGTCGGTGCGGGCGCCCGAGGGACAGGGACCCGAGGGAACTCGGCCGCCTAAGACTCGAGAACACCCAGACGGGTAGACAGGCACACAGGCATAACCAGTGACCTGGAACCGGATCACCGCCTGAAACTTGTTTCAGTGGAGTGGGCACGCTGTACACGTGAACTTTGTTCCTCCCGCGGTTGACCCCGGCGTGTCCGGGTCGGCGTACCCAGCGCTGCTGGCCCGAGGACGGGTTGTGCCGCTCCCAGGGCTCTGCAGATTCAAAATGTGCCTTCAGACTGGGCGTGGGGTGCCAGGGGGCTCCTTTGCTGTGGCAAATTCTATACACCATTTTTAAAAATCCCTTCCAGGTGAAAGTTGTTGCTGTTGACGCAGAGCTGAATGTGTTCTATGAGGACAGTGCGCATTTTGACAGAGACCTTCTAGAATTCGGGTATGTACCCAGGGGATGTGTGGGGGAGGGTTGGTTTTGGGGTCCTCCCTCCACCTTTTATATTCATGAGCCACACTCTTCTGGTGTGAGATTGTGATTTGCAAAAAATACGTGTTTGGTCATTTAGACGGTCAAAATATATTTCTCCTGTGCCTTTGGTCTGCATCCACAGTTCCTGGCTCACAGCTCCTAAACCTCTTGGAAATTCCTAAGGGTTGAGAGGCATAAAGGTGTCTTTTGTTACATTAATGAAGATGACTTTTGGACCCCACCCAGGGGCTGGGGCTGGTTGCCAAGAAGATTAAAGATAAAGGGTTGGAATTTTCAGCCAGAGGTTCAATGGCCAATGGCCAATGACTTAGTCATTGACCTTGTAATGACTTTGTAATGAAGTCTTAATAAGAACCCAAAAGGACTGGGTTCAGAGAGCTTCTGGATTGGTTGACAAGTGGAGATTGGGCAGAGTGGAGTGCCTGGAAAGGTTATGGAAGCTCGGTGCCCTTTCCCCATACCTCGCCCTATGTTATCTCTTCATCTGACTGTGTCCTTTATCACGTCCTTTAATTTCCCTGACTTCTGTGAGCTGCTCAAGCACATTCAAAGAACCTAAGGTCATTGGAACCCCCCATCTGTAGCTGTTTGGTCAGAAGGTAATAGCCTGGGGCCGGGGCCTGGGCCTGGCATCTGAAGTGGGTGGGGAGGGCAGTCCTGTAGGACTGAACCCTTAACCTGCGGAAGTTGACCATCTCAGACCATCTGCTGGTGTCTGAGAGAATTGTTTGGTGTTGGGTGTAGGGGACCCCCATCCCCTCCCAACCCCCGCCACGTTAGAATTGAGTCCAAGAACCTAAGAGTTGGGATCTGTAGATCTGGCTTCATCAAACTGCAGAAGTCTTGGTAGGCCTCTCAGCGTCTTGTGTGTGTCTTCCTGGAATGAGTTTTCCTCCATTCCTTCCCAATTCCGTGCACTCATTAACCATGCATGCAGTAGGTATCAGTTGAGACTTACTTCGTGTCAGGCGCCGTGATGGGTACTGGGATTTGGTGGTGAACCAAACAGAGATGTGGTGCTTACTCTCCCAGAGCTTCCCGTTGAGTAGGGGAGACTGATATCAATCAAAGAATCTCACAGAAGAGTATTTAGTTATAAACTCAGAGAACGCTATTAAAGGAAAGGGACTTACTTCTCCAAATGTTTATTATAAAGGAATGTGACCCAGACTTGGGGGGGGGGGTGGTGGTCAGGGAGGGTCCCTAAGGACGTAGTGCTTGAGCCAAGGTCTGGGTGAGTAGGGTTAGCCAGGTGATGGAAGGGAGGCAGCATTCCAGGCAGAAGGAACGGTGCGTGCAAAGGCCCTGTAGCAAAAAAGAGCACTGCTTATGCAGGGAATTGAAGAAGGCCAGTGTGGCTGGGGAATAGAGAGGGAGGTAGAGGCTGTGCCCAGCTACATAAACCTTGGTACACAGTTTGTGTTTATCCTAAAAGCCGTGGACGGCCACTGAAGGGCCATAGGGATGGGGGTAAGGTGTGACCTGGTTGTATTTGTGTTTTGAAAAGATCTGGGTGCAATGGGAGAGCAGTTGGGTATTGGTCAGAGTGCATGCTGAGAGGCCATTGAGGTTTCTCCAGATCTTCTGGATGGGAAATGATAGTGTCTTGGAGGAGAGGGCTGGGTGGTAAAATTGATAGGGCTTGGTGCAGGGTTGAATGTGAGATGTGAAGGTGAGGTTTCTGGATGGTTGGTAGACTGTGGAAGAGAACTGATCTGGGGGAGGAAGATGATGAGTTTGGCTGTTGTGAAAGTGTGGTAGGGCTACCAGAACAAAATGCCCCAGACTGTGCGTCTTAAGCAACAGAAGTTAATTTTCCTTCGGTTCTGGAGCCTGGACGTGTGAGGTCGAGGTGCCGGCAGGGTTAGTTTCCTCCGAGGCCTCTCTCCTGGGTTTGCAGATGATGGCTACCTTCTTGCTGCCTGTCGCATGGTCGTCCTCTGCCTGTGCATCCCTGGTGTCTCCACTGTGTTTGTGTCCCAGTCTACTTTTATAAGGACACCAGTCATGCAGGATTAGGGTCCACCCTAATAATGTCATTGCAAGTTAATTGCCTTTTTCAAGGCTCTTTGTCCAAATGCAGTCATGTTCCGAGGTACTGGGGGTTAGGACTTCAGCACAGGAATTTGCGGGGGGTGGGGGGGGGGCGGTAATTCAGTCCGTAACAGCTGTGGACTTGTTGATTCTGAGGTGGCTCTGAGAGGTCCTGGTGGACGTGTTCCTCCACGACTATTTTATTTTTTATTATTTTTTTAAGGATTGTTTATTTGGGGAGAGAGAGAGTGCATGCATGCCTGCTGGGGAGGGGCAAAGAGAGAGGGGAAGGGAGAACCCCAAGCAGGCTCCACCCTGTCAGCGCAGGGTCGGGGCGAACCCCGGGCAATCATGACCTGAGCCGAAATCAGAGTGGAATGCTTAACCAACTGAGCCACCCAGGCGCCCCTAAACAACGTTTAGATATCATTTCCAGGGCGCCTGGCTGGCTCAGTCGGTGGAGCGTGCAACTCTTGAACTCGGGGTTGTGAGTTTGAGCTTGGCATTGGTGTAGAGATTACTTAGAAATAAAATCTTTAGGGGCACCTGGGGGGCTCAGTCCGTTAAGTGTCGGACTCTGAGTTCGTGCTGCTGGACTCTGCCCTGGCGGTGTGCCTCATGCTTGGGGTGCTCTCCCTCTCCCCTCCCCTGTTCATGTGTGCTCTCGCTCTCAAAATAAATAGACATTAGAGTAAAAGATATCACTTCCCTGCTGGCTCTTTGTGCAGCACCCACTGCTGATCACGTTGTGTTAACCATCTTTTCTTCCCCCTTAGCTGATGTGCCTCCTTTGAGCTGCGGTTGGAAACCATCTTGCGTTTGTATTATTTTCTATCACTACAGGCCACATGTGTTTGAGTTTTGGTAGCTTGTGTCTTTCAGGGCATTGGTTCATTTCATCTAAGCTATAAAATGTGTGGCCATAGAGATCTTCATACTATTCCTTTCTTTTCCTCGGATGTCTATGGGATCAGTAGTGATGACCCTTCTGTCATTCTGATATTGATGATTTGTGTCTTCTCTCTTTTTGTCTTGGTGTGTCTGGCTAGAGGTTCATCACGTTAATGATCTTTTTGAAAAGGCAGCTTTTGGTTTTGTTGATTTTTCTCT